TTATTGAAAGTTGATCCGCGCTAATGATGTTACTTGTGGTGTTGATGAAAAATGAATGTACATTTTCTGTTAATGAACGGCAAAAGGTGTATATGTTCCTAAATTATATAACAAAACATTAGAATTTTTACATTTTTTCAATAAATATTATTAAAAAATGAAAAAGAATTATTATTATTTTTTGGCGACAAAAAGGATTTTGGTGACAGCGCTAATCTGCAGGTAATTCTAGTGGCATGTTGTCAAAAATGGTGAAACATGAAACCAAATTCTTGCCTAATTCAGCGACTTTACTATAGAAGTATTCAAAATGAATTGAGTAAAAACTTTATTTATTAGTCCTAGATTTCAAAACAATTGCTTTCAAAAGTTTTTTTGCCATGCTCAATTGTGGACGATGCTAAAATTCTCTAGAACTTGTTTTTTGAAATATTTTTATGAAGTTTTCAGCAAAACATGGAAGCGATATTATAAATGAATTCTTTTACTATTTGTCTTTTTTCAATTCGATAAATGCAAAGCGTAATTTCAAAAGAAAATATGGATGGAGAAAAATTTCATAAAATAACAAAAGCAACAAACTTTGACAGCTTACCAAAGCTTCTTAATCTAAATGTCTTTAAGAAGATTTAGTGATTTTCTAAAACCCTGCCTTTACTATTTACTTCAACCATAGCACGTAAAGTAGAATGCATATGAGATAAATTTATCTAAAAAATATCTATTCGTGGGAAAATTTACATTTTTTGGAGATGATGGTTTTTAGGTTTGCACCTTCGTTAGTTTTAAGCTTTGACCTGTAAAATGGCCGGTCTTAAAAGAATTATTTTAAGTCTTAAAATCCTTTTATTTTGATGTTAAGAATGAAGGAACTTTAAGCTCAGTACGCCTTTTAAAAACTACTCGGCTTTACCCACCTTTCTTGTTGGAGCCAATTAATTAGGACCAGTCAGTAGTGGCCAATGTCGATACTCGTGCAAAAGAATACGCCAATATCTTACAACAGCGTCATCATGTCACCTCTTGGGCTACATACTATGCCAGCGACTGTGTAGTTCGACATTTAAGCTTTAAATCTTGTTGGAAAAGACTTTTGAAGATCAAAACATGACCCGATGTATCATGGCGGGCTGCGAGTCTGTTGTTTTAAGCTCTTGAAGTATAGTTGTTATTGTCTTCGATACCCAAGAGAGGCTAAATTTGAAAGCTATAGTACGGCGCCTTTCTGTTTGGAGACACTGAGCATTGTCACTTCGTTCTTTGAAAAGAGAATGATTGAATTTAGAATAGAATTATAAATTAAAATCATTTTTTTCAAACAAGTTAACCATGCTCTTAATTTGCTTGCAATCAAAATGGCTTTCAAGAGTCTTATTCAAACTCTTACAATAACTTTATTTTCGACTGAAGGACGTTTTGTGCCTTTTCTCGTCAATCCATATTTAGCCAATAGGTCCTTTGATAGTTTTACCGTCAAGTTCCACCTTACACAATAGCAACACAATTACTATAGCTATTTTTAGACGTATTGAGTAAAAAATAAAAATAATTAAAAAAATAAAAAAAATTAGAAAAAAAAAAAAAATCCAGCTCATTCTCGTTGTTACGAGCACGTACATTTTGGCTTAATCTTCGAAAGTTGGGCTAAATTCAAACTCATTACGCCTCTTTTCTCGACTTTAGTTCTTCTAAGCATGTGCCGTGGGTGTATAAAGTGTGATATAACAAGTGTATACTAATGTTATAAAGTCAATACGTAGCTTTCCGTGGAATAAAACAAACAAGGGTCTCAAGGTACATGTACGTGCGCTCGCTCGGCCATCCATGGATTTGTTCCAGGAAAAGCAATCGAGCAGAGCGATGAAGGACTCTAACCCATTAGACCCAAACCCTAACCCTAACCCAAGCCCCCGAAACACGCCAAAAAACCGCAACCTTAGGTTTATTACGGAATAGTGCCATTTCATGTAGTCTTACGAGAAGTAGTAAGGGTATCTTCGCTGGGACTTATTATTGCTGGTTTTCAATGATTCCCAAGAGAATGAAATAACAAAAGACACCGTTGTCATGTTGGATGATATAACAAGAGAGAGTGATAATAAATTGTTTGTTAAGTTAATTCCGCTGTGAAAACGCTCAATAACTAAAGAAAAAGAATACTTATAGCTTATCAGTTTAATCCAGTTTAATGCATCTTCCCATTCTTCAAACTTTCAAGCATTAAGACGATGATTTCACTCTAACAAGTAAATAGACTCAAACTTGCTGACTAGATATTCCACTAGTTATGCAAAGTTCCAAGGGCTTGGACGGTGTATTGTTTTCTTGATATCCACTGATCCCGCTCTAAGCGGCGTCTTTAGCTCCAACTGTAGAAGTGATCTCTATTCTGATAGCTAAATTATAAGCATAAATATTTTCAAACGCGTTTTTAAATAAACAATAATATGTCTAATATCATACCTTAGTTTGGTCTTCCTACGGTACCGACTTCTCTTGCTGTGATCCTGAGCTGTGTCCGTGGAATTTGATTGGATAAGCAGTAATTTTGTGCGCGAACTGATTGTTTGAATGAAGCAGATATGTATTTGTGAATTTTTGCTACGAAATTACGTAGACGTTATGATCGGAATGAGTTACTGCGAAAATTCAACAGGGAATATCACCCGAATCATATTTATAGCAAACGCCATATTCAATATTATCTTCGTGTTTAAAGCGTTATCGATATTTATGAAGGATTTTAATGGCCTATTTTTGGAGGACTTTCTGTTTTATTCCTGTGAAAACAGCGGTAAAATTCCGGCTGGTGCCATCGAGGCGCACAGCGAGAATTTGCGCAACAAAACCCGCTTCTGCACTACACGGTAACGAGAGATAAATATCTGACTGCGAGAGATAACGGATCTTCTTTTAAACATATTCTATGATTAAGACGTTTTCTCGTTTAATAATAAACAAACCAGAAATGGGTAAAGGATTATTGATCAGGGGGTTTGAGAGAGATAACGTTATTCGAAGAATTAAAACAATGCGCACTAGCTTGACCGAAAGAAATGAGTTCTGCCTATGTATCTAACTGATCAACCAAAATGCCCTTGGAAAAATATTATGCATCGATCTTCATCTAAATTCCAATAGTCCTTTTCACAGTTCCCTGCGCCATCTTGAAAGGTAGCCGTGCCTTTCCATCGAAGCGAGACTACCGGTGAGCTTGCAATGAAAGAGACCTTTTTTTAAAACTTTGGACAATTACTCGCTTCGGACACAGCTATATTTCAAGATGGCCCCGAGTTATCCGCAAATCCTTGCTCTGACTTAAATCATCCCAGAGGTTGTTGTCAGATAGATAAGGCTGGACGGTCTGTACCAGTGCTCCATCAGAAAGGCGAATCCACGCATGCGCAATAGTTTTACTCGAACAACTAAAGTTGAATGTCACTTTTTGATTCTATTTTTTTATCATGCATTTTAAGTGTTTATTCAATTTTTTTGTAATAATAATAATAATAATAATTGTTAAAACACCACAAAGTTAACAATGACTCTTTATTTATTAATATTCATTACATCCTAACATTATCGGCAAATAACAAGAAGCCGGACCGTTTTTTTTACGTCATTATTTCCGGTCCGTAACAATATGCCGGTTGAGCATTTGATTCAAAAGAAAATTTTACCTTGAAAATTAAGGAGATTTAGATAGTTAACCATATATTGATCGTCTTGAAAAAGTCCACATTTTTGCACAAAGCTTGGCTACCAAGCAATTTTATGCGGACGAGGTGGCTTGGGGAGAGGTGCGATACGCGCACAAGGCTTGGTAACCAAAGCTAGTAAAAAAATGTGGAGCTTATCAAATGACTTGGTCTGGTTTTTGTTTGATTATCTGCTTTTCAATCCTTCCCAAGAAACTGAAAAACGAAAGAGATAGTAGCCATGCTGGTTGAATGAATGATAAGGCAAAAGAAACCAAAGCAGCATGGCGGCTATGACGTCACATCAAACCCAGAAATCTTTTAAACTTTTAGGCTCCATGCAGGGAGGACAAAAATTTGCTGTTAAAAATGCCAAACAATTCAAAAATCCACAATTTAAGTTTAAAGTTGACAATTTTACAATTCATATTCCAGTCATTTTTTTTTTGGCGGCAAATTGACTTGATGTTATTCTCTGAAGTGTTGAATTTTGTTACATTTTTACTTTTTTTTTTACATATTTAAAATTTTATTCCTTATTCATCATTGCTGTTTGAAATAAAATTGAGGCTATATTTAACAGAGCTTTACATCACCTTTAATAATATATTTTTAGGAGAAATATTTTTTGCCAAACAACATGATATGTATCGGGAATTAAGTTCAACAACGAGAATGAAGTATTACTGAGAATCATAATCCAAACCGTGGGCTCCTAAACTTAAGGTTAAATCTCACCAGAAAAATGTTTTTCTACATAGAAATCACTTATGACAGAGAAGAATAATCTCTTTCATTATGGCGGGTAAAGGGTTAATACTTCAAGATTGTAAATTCATTCCTCGGGAATCTTCTTATCCTAAATCTCGTCCTCTTTACGTCTTAGATTTAACAAAAACCATTTAAGTTATCTGGAATAAATTCATAATTTGAAAAGCCCTTTCTTATCTCTTGTTGTGTGATGTTTTCGAGATGGCGTCGATCTTACATCTTACCACGCTTTTTTTGTAGTGTTCTTTTCGTAAAGCTTTAGTTTACTACTGTGGTGCTCTGTTGAAGTAGATGAAAAATTTGTAGTTAAATATATTGTCATATCAATCAACGACTAATTATCAGACCGACTGACATGGTGAATCGTCGACTTACGGAGCGACCGCGACCGACCGACTGACCGACAGACAGACTGAACTAGCGACCAAACAACAAACCCGGCAAACATCCCATCGCCTTTTTGAGCTGAAACAACCCAGTTGGCAGCCAACCAACCAATGGCAAATAAGGCAAACAAACTTTGAAATAACAAACGAACAACAAAACATCATAACAACCATATAAGTAAATTCAAAATAGTTTACAGCAAACTCAAAAAAAAAAAAAAAAAACTTTGAAATAACAAACGAACAACAAAACATCATAACAACCATATAAGTAAATTCAAAATAGTTTACAGCAAACTCAAAAAAAAAAAAAAAGAAGCAACAACAACAACAACAACAAAAAAAAACAAGCAAGCATTACCTTGGCAGTTTCCTTCCATTCAAAATTCTTTGGATTCTCGAAAAGACTTCGAAGATTCTTTACGATTCCTGGACGTGGACTTGCGCATTCTTCTTCGGAAACTATATGCAAATAAAACCAAGTGTTCATCTTAAAGAAATGTTACAGGAATTAAATTGAATTGAGCAAACCATTATTTTCGAAACACAAGTCTCGATTGATTTCTGCTAACGAAGGTCAAATCTTTTCCTAAAAGTCAAAACCAATATGGCGGCTGTGACATCACATGCACGAGGACAAAAGACGTGGTCACCAAGAGAATAACAACCTGTTTAACCCGCATAATTTTTTTTCCTGTCATCATGACTGCCACGTGAAGGCCTTTTTATTTCTTAAGGTCAAAACCAACATGGCGGCCATGACGTCACTTTACTTACCAGTTCCATAAGCAGCTGGACTCAACAGTGGTTCTCCATGTTCAAACATCTCTTTAAACCGACTCACACTTACTGGGCTCTTCTCACCTTCAAAAAAGTATAATTTTCATATTATGACTGATGATTTCACGAGGACTTGAATTATAGGAAAAGATCTTACTTGTATTTGGTTCCCTCGGACACACAGCTTTGGCATTTGGATCCTTGTTTTGGAAGATTCGCCCAAGTTCTTTGACTTTGGTGTGTTCGCTGTGGTCGTCTTCATGACATATAATCAAACAAAACGCAAGAATTTAGAGCCTGTTATCTAAGGATGACGTATGGTGGATAGTTATAGTATATTAGACCGTTGTAGGACTGTGGGCCAAGGAAAATGTTCTATCATTATACACCTATTTCAATAAAGGTTGTCATCGCCAAAGGCGATAGGTGATAGGTCGTTCCGACATGGAAATGGCATCGTTGAATACCAAGAACATTAAATCAGTATCATCATTAAGGTCCATTTCTTGACGAGAATAAGAAGCAGAAACACAAGTCATTCCAGCTATTCTTGGATGGATCTTGAAATGACCTATCTCCTATAACTTTTCGCATATTGCCTATCGCTTTTGGCGATGACAACGTTTATTGAAACAGGTGTATGTTCGTGACCCAACAGCAGATAGAAGATGGAATTAGACCTTATCACGCGCTGTTTTTGGCTCTAAGCACCTCTAAGAACCTGAATCAAGCTTTTTTGTAACTCTTGTTACTTGAAAATTAAAAACGTTCAAGTAACAACAACAACAAAACAAAAACTGAAATCCATGTCGGATTGAGTGTCTTATGGTGGTACATTCAAATGAGTCGCGAGCAACATCCCAACACATCCTAATATGAATAACATCCAAACGAGTCCAAAGATGATGAGTAGATTAGTATTCATGCCATATCAGTATAGATCCATTGGTGGTGGTGAATATAAACGAGTCGAGTCTAACGAATAATATCCCGATGAGCCCAAAGATGATGATTACAATCGTGTTCGTTTCATGGATGGCGATTGTATGACTGAGGTTTTGTGAATCCACGATGTTCAGAAGTCTTTTGTCTACGCTTTTTGAATGAGAACACTGAGTAAGATGCGTAAGATGTTGATGGTTTAATAGATGAAGGATTTATATTACCTCCAAGTCCTAGGGCTTGCAGCTCCGGCTGATGAACAGAATGATTTTGTTTTTCTTCAAATTGATGTAAAACTTCATTTTCGTATTCCTTGATTCTGTGGTAAACAACCTCGTTCGCTTCCTCTTCTTTTGTTTTTGCTTTTTGTTCTTCTTGTTGCGATTCTGGTGTTGCTTCTTTTTTTTCTTCTTCTCGTTCTATTTCTTGTGCCTCTTCTGTTTCCGGTGTTTCTTCTGTTTCTGGTGCCTCTTCTGTTTCCGGTGTTT